AGGGGGCCAGGACCAGGGTGCTCCCCATATGCATGCAGCCAGGTATCAACATTTCCCATTCCAAGTACTGTCCTCTAGGGCTTTTTTTTTTTTTTTTTTTTTTGGAGAAGGAGAAGGCAAAGCATATACTGCTGCAGTCAAAACCAGAGAAACATTTTGTCTCCTCCTACTTCTGCCTCCTTACATATCAGCAGCTCTGTATAATGAAAGTCTAAATCATTTGTGTGCAAACATAGCAACTGTTTATTTGCTGTTAGCTTTGAGGACTCAGTGGGGGTTTGATGCGTTTAGAAAAGAGATCAACCCTGGGAGAGTCTAATCTCATAAGTAGAAAAAAAGAAAATTGAAGCTGAAAATGCTTCTCCCTACATCTGAGGGACAGGGCAGGGATAAATTATCCTTTAGCTCTACCCCCTCCAGTTCTGAAAAATACTCTTAGTCCAAGGACATGGAGTGGAGATGACTCTTTGAAAGGATTCTGCTTACTTGGCCTGGTTGGAGATTGATTGTGAGTTCTAGAAATAGCATACCTTCCCCCCCCAGGCCACCAAGTAGTATATCGTTCACCACTTGTAAAATGCACCCAGGAATATTGTTTTTGAAACTTCTTTTTTTTTCCTCATAACTAAGCTGTCGTGGCATAAAATCAATCTGGAAACTGATATACATTTGTATTTCTATGAAGAGTGAATCCTAGACTCTAAAGAAAACATTTGCCATGGTTAAGATGTGGTTTTTCTCTAAACCAAAGGCCCATGAATGGAGAACTTAGTTTAGGGAGGAGGGGTCTTTTAATGGGTTGGACCTATCAGGATATTCTTGGATGTTGTGATATATATAATCTTGGAAAGAATTAAAATAGTTTCCTTGCACGTCTCATGAGAGTAAAGTATTATAAAAACCTGAGTTCAAACTTTGAGTCTCTATATCCTGTAACAAGGTATACACTAAGTTTAATTGTTGCCATCCATCTTCATATGATACCGCCCATAGAACCTTGGCTAGAGCTGAGCCAATACAAGCATCATGACCTTGAACTTTGGCAACTGTGAGCTAAATATCTTTCCTTAACGAAAAGTCAGGCTTAGACATCTTACCATAGAGACAAAATGTTGTCTGCTACTCTATCCCTGGAACATTTTGAAGGGACAAGTGTCCTCTATAGTGAGGCTCCTTTGACCTCCTTTATGAAATGACCGGTTTGCAGAAGCCTTGCTGAAACTATGGGGTCTCTGAGATACCCTTTTTGCTCATTTAAATCTCACAAAAACCTGTTTTTTTTTTTTCTTTTTACACCATTGTAGCCAGAAGACACAAATTTAGTATCCAAGAGTGTAATCTGACCATAGGGCAGGGGTAAGAGATAGGGAAAAACTAGGCTAGTCCAACACTTATGACAAAACAAGACTTGGTGGGATGGAGCCAGGAATATGGAGGGAAATTTTAAATTCATACTGAAAATGTGGTTGTCCAGGATTGACTGCTTCAGAAGAGGAAAATTCTCTTCGAACATGGTCCCATTTTCCTGAAAACAAAGGTAGTCTTCTACCTACAAGTCATTTTAAAAATGTTTCTTTTTTTTTATTTTGTGTTCAATACAACTCAACTACAGTTTCCTGTTCCTCCATGTTGTGGGAGCTTCGGGCCTGCTTTTCGTCCCGCCTGGCTCCTGCACGGCTAGAAATAACAACACACAAACTGAATTCTTTTAAACACTGCTTGGCCCATTATATCTAGCCTCTTCTCGGCTAACTCTCGCATCTGTACTAGCCCATTTCTAATAATGTGTGTAGCACCCCAAGGTGTGCTTACCGGGAAGATTCTAGCCTATGTCCATCCTGGGTCACATCTGCCCCAGAGAGGAGAGGAAATGGCATCTGTCTGAGGTGTCTTACCTCACTTCCTCTTCCTCCCAGCATTCTGTTCTGTTTACTCCACCCACCTATGTTCTAACCTGAGGCCAAGCAGTTTCTTTATTAATTAACCAATGACCTTCCTCCATCACCTCCACTCCTTATAGTCCCCCCTCCTTGAGGTTCTTTCAAATTAGCATCCTCCTTCTTAGCCCCTCCCCCAATCCTTACCTTTGCCAGTGCAACTATTTTACTGTGTTGGGCTATCTGGGCTGAAAGGGCAGCAAAATAGACCATCTCTGGAGGCAGTGCAATAGGAAATGTCAGTTGGGGGAGTAGAAACCACTCATAGAGCTGTTATTTTCCTTTTACCCACATATCACCAAGCACCACATTTTGACCTTACCTGCCATGATCTGTACCAAAGGAAGTTAACTTCAGTAGACAAGAGCAAAGATTTCCTTACCAGCTAGCATCTGGATGAATCTGGCTAATGGTGAGCACTGGATGAATATCAGAGAGCAGGAAGAGAGTGAGACATGTATTCATACCCTATCTCCTTCCCTTTGTCCTTCATTTAGCCGGCAACTGCATGGTGCTATCGCAAGCCACAACTCCTATCAGATGGCACCTTCCTTTTCTTCCAATACAGTTACTGCTGGGTTCCAATAATGACATTTCTTCCCTTTGCCACTTCCATCTTAAAAATGGGTGTGGCTACCCTTCTATAAAACCCTAGGGGTTTTATGCCTGTCAACTTTATTGCTGGTAGGTGCCCTTTACCCTACACATACCATCATAAATGCTCCTTTCATTGCATTTGTCCCACCTAAACTCCTTGTGTATTGCTGGTGTTTGCCCCCAGGATACTAGTATATACATTCACCTGCACAAATTCTGTCCTATAGAACTCCAGAAAGTTCCATAGCTTGAAATTTGAGATTACCTAGATGAGTTACCTTTCCTAAGAGAGTGATCTGCCTTTTCCTGACCATTTAACATGTACTCCATGGACTGCCTTCTCTTAAATTGAGAGTGCATTGCAATGTTTATAAAATAAACATGAGGAATGAGTTGGTTACAGATTTGTTTTAGCTATACTGAGTCAACTTACTTGGCTAAATGGATGCTATGAACTCAAGATGTAGTGCTTTCCAGAAAGTTTTATCAAGATACTTTACCTTATACATTTAATCAATCTGTGTCCTAGGAAGAATTCATATTAAACAGGAATTTGAACATGAGTTGATTAAGGTCCATAATACCCATTTTTATATTACCCATGTACTACAGTGATTATTCTACACTGTTACCTGGACTTACCTACATATGTTGACAAAAAACTGACTTTCTAGGCACAGAATTGAGCATCTCTTATTCAAAATGCTTCACATTGTAAGTGTTCCTCCTTTCAATTGAAAACGTTATATATTAAACAACTTAAATCCAACTAAAAGTGTATTTAAAAGACTAGCACTATTAAGATCCCTTTGGAAATTTTGACTTCGGGAACAAAAATTTAGTCAAATGTTTTAGTGACATGGTAAATCATAAAAAAACACACAACCATATAAACTGTTGAAATATGTAATCAAATTACTGCACCTATGTTTTAAGATGTTACTAGTATACTTCAATGAGAGCCAAATTGCCTATGCCCACGATAATAAACAATAAAATAAACATACCTGTTTAAGGTATCCTATTTTGTTTGGTAATGTTTGTTATTTTGCTTTTTTGAGGCAAATTCTCATGTATCTCACGCTGGTCTTGAACTCACTATACAACTGAGTCTGGCTTTGAATTTTCAAAGTTGTTTGGGTTTGTAATGTGGGCATAGATTATATGTTGCTTGTTATTAAGCCAAAATAAAAAAAATAAATGGAAATGCTATGGAGCATCTTTTTGAGGACAACAATCTTAAATTACTTTAGATTTGGAAGCATTCTCAATCTATATCTTTCTAGTATTCACCCCCCTTTCCATTCTTATTCCCAATGTATTCACTTTACACCTAGATTATATAACCTTTTCTATCCTCTCCACATCCTCTTTAACTCTTTGCTGTAGACTTTGAAGAACACAAATGCACTCATGTCATGTACTCTTCATTGGCTATCCATCCTTTGGGTTAAAATTCAAACTCATTACTTTGGGCTGCAGAGAATCTGACTACTGTTTTCTAACAGTGTTGTCTTCATCCATTTGTTTTCAAGCTTGGCGTCCATCCTCACTCTGTCCCTATACTTTTGCTCCTGTGCACTTCTTACCTTTGATGATTAGCTCCAGTTCTTCATCTTTCAAACCCATCTTACTCATCGTTTTTTTTTTTTTAAAACCAAAACTTTCCTGCGATTCCTTAAGTCACCAATTGAGTTTTGTGACTGTTCTGTGATCCTTTAGCCCCTCTTCACCCACCTTCAATTTCCTAGCACTTAGCACATTGGCAATTATTTATTGGCATGCCTGTTGATAACTCCTCACTATTCATTTTAGGCTGAGAAACTGTTTTCATCATTTAAGCCTAGTGCCGGGAACAGAATGATGAATGTTTAAGAAATGTTTCCTAAATGAAGGACTAAGCGAGTTAATTATGAGTGATTATGAATGGAATATATGAATTCAATTGCATACATGAGGCAAGTATAAGAACTCTGACTCTTTATGGGATGGTCCACAATTAATCAAGCCAGCTTTGTTAGGTTTTCCCCCTCTAGATGGACAAAATCCATGATAGAACTTTAGGAATAGAAACAGATGCGCTGGCTTGCTGCATCACAGTCCTTCTCTATTTCCTAAAACTAGAGTTATGGGATAATAGCACTGGACTTAATTAAGTAAGGGAAGGGGTGAGGCTAATTTCCCACAGGGAGAAACCAAATTCAATACCATCCATCCGCCTTGATCACAGATGGGATAGAATTCAGGCCTAAAAATACTTCAGCCCTAAGTGACATCATGGCTGTATGCTTTCAGATCTAACTCACCCCAGATGGAAGTGAGAAGATTTGAAGAGCAGTCTTTATAGCAGACAAGGAAACTTATATCACACTACAGATGATTACTAAGACAAATATTATTGCAGACTTCCTAGTCACATAATAAACTCAGATAAAATTTTCAAGTAGAATAGAACAAAGAACATCCTTGCCTTCATCACTGTGATTATATATTTATTGAACACCTCACAAATGTTAGACTTTACTCAAAATATTCAATTGGCAATATTTCTTTATCTAGAAGGGGTTGGGGAGCAATTATAATATTTTGATACCAAATGCCCAGAAAGAGTAGAAAATTAAGTAAGTCCTATGAATATTCTAAAGCATAATGTGGAAGTTGCCCCAGATTATATGCAAACAAACATGATTAATGTTGTCCCCCACTGGAAGTTACCCTTTCACCGAACTTCCCCATGCTTGAGAGAGAAAAATGAGACCAAGCATAGCCCTAAGAAAGTTACAAATGATTTGCATATTGATACTCAAGATATGTTTGTGGGCAACAATAAATATTAGAGGGAGAGCCATGGAAATGAATGTATGGAAATCAGCTTAGTCCATCTCCTAGTACCTCTGAGTAAAACTGCTCCTGAAATCTCTCTGAGGTTTAAAGTTAATGGGAAGTGTTACAGAACTCTAAGGGGTTTCTTACTTATACAGTTAACCTCCAAGTGAGAATCGTATTTTGTATAAAGGTCTCAATGGGACTTGGGTGGTCAGTCGAAACTCTGTCCAGCAGTATTTGAGAGCATCATTGTGCCTGATGAATTGTATAAATAGGTAAGGACTTAGAGCTTTATGGGGACGTGAAAATGAATGACAAGTGGCTACAAAGCATGCAAACACTAGGCTACACTACCAGTAGGTGGCTGCCTTAGCATAGTACCTCTTTTCAAGGCTTGTTTCCCTCCCATTCCCACCCTCTTCAGATGATCTTCATCAAGTCTTAAGGTTTGAGGCAGTGATCAAGCTCCATGGCATAAGAATTGGTATTCTTCATGATACTTTCCACCAACATGACTGGCCTGGGGTTTCTTCCAGCAAAACAAGAGAGCCAGGTACAGATCAACATGGCTGCAGCAGCTCCACCCCCAGCACAGTAATAGGCCCAGCCAAGTCTACAGGTTCCTGTGGAAAGAAGGATAGAGGTATAAATGTTGATTTGTCTTTTCCTATATCCTTTTTGGCAGTAAACTGTAAACATAACCTTTGAAAGTATATTTAAATTAAAATATAATTATGTTATAGAGATTTGCATTGGTACGGATTCTGGTTTATTGATACAAATTTAAGGTCAATTTTGTTATACTATGTATATGTATTTCTGATCTTGATTAAGGTATTGTATTTGTCCAGCTCATCTATAAATGTAATGTATAATTAAGAACTATAGGTTAATAGATAATCGTCTATAATAGTCAGGCTTGTAGTCATATTAGTTAGATTTTCTAGATGTACAGAGATATATTTCAGATGGATAGGCATTCTTCAAACCTTTCAGAGACTACAGAACACAGCATTTAAAATGTTTAAGAATTTATGGCTTTTCATGACAATGAGACACATCTGCTCCTGCCTGCACCAATCTTCTGCAAGAGGAAGATGGGCGTCAAAACGGCTCTTTATGGGGATGGTTAGTCATTTGGGCATGAAACTGCGCTTGCCTGGACTGCTTGATGAACAGGACATGCAGGACCCACAGAAAAATGACTGCTTAACTTGCCTAAAAATGACACAGTCCTTTGGGGTTCCTGCTTCACGAAAGAGTCTGCTAGACATTCTGCAGGACACAGAAAAAAATTACTAAAAACTGCCAATATAGGTGGAACTGTCTTTATAATTTCCTGCTTCATGGAAAAGTCTGCTGGATACTATGGCCCTGTAGGCTGAAGATAGATGTCTCCAATGATAGAGAAGAACTTAGGGTCGTTGTCCAGGCAGTAAGATGTCTCTGCCAATTTAAGAGTTTTGGAAGTTGCTTACAATGCACTTTCTAATTACTTAAGTAATATTATATCCTTCTGGAGTCTTTAATGGAGTTGAAGAATTTATAGTTGCAGTTTTCTTTAGTTATAATAAAAGATAAACTATATATAACTGTAATTCTTGTTTCATAACTGTTTTATGTAATTTTACTATGTTAAAGTTACAACCTTCCTTTTCTTTTTAAACAGAAAAAAAGAGCTGATGTGGGATTTCCCTCTGTATGCTATGATTACCATTAATGAATAAATAAACTGCTTTGGACCTATAGCAGGGCAGAACTTAGCTAGGCAGGGAAAACTAACCTGAATGTTGGGAGAAAGAAGGGCAGAGTCTGACAGAAGCCATGTAGCTCTGCTGGAGCACAGCCACGTGGTGATACACAGATTCATAGAAATGGGTTAAATTAATATGTAAGAGTTATCCAGTAAAAAGCTAGAGCTAATAGACCAAGCAGTGATTTAAGTAATATAGTTTTCTATGTGGTTATTTTAGGTATGAGCTGCCAAGCAGCCGGGAATAAAACAAGCGGCCTCCTACAACCTAATTATATAATTTTCCTCTATTACCTATTACCTTTCCTTTCTCCCAAGCTCTACTTGTCTCTTCCCTAGCTTCTACCCATGTGTGTGTACATGTGTGTGTGTGCGTGCACATGTACGTGTGTGCACATGCACGTGCATGTCTGTGTGTCTGTGTACACAATTTCAGGGCTGGCCACTTGAGATTGAATAAAAAACTAGGGGATTCCTCCATGGGAGAAGACTATTTCTCCTCTACCCTCAACACCCTTTAGTTCTCTGTAGGTCTTTATCTACGAGTGGGGCCCCATGAGGTTTTCTCCTTATAAAAGTATATTCTTGACACATCTTCTTTGAGATGTGATGGTTAAAGTAAGGAAAGAAAATAGATATGAAAGCTAAGTTTTCTCTTTCCTCCTTCCCTCCTTTATTGTTTGCTGGTCCATGTTTTAGCAAGACCTTATAAAACCATATTTTCTATTAGAGTAGGCACCGGGGAATGGTGCAGGTGGTGACACTGCAACAGTAATAATTGCAATGACGACAGGAAAAAGCTAATAAAATGTCAAACAGTATACTAAGTTCTTTACACATAGACCTCATTGATCATCACAGCAATCTCCTGACCCAGATACTCTTGTTATCTTATAAATGATGTGACAGACACGGTACATGCTGTGAACACTTATACAGCTAGAAAGCGGTAGAGTTGGACTACAAACCATGCTTAAAGATGTTTCACAAGCACTTCATTTTTAACCAAAGAGATATATTACTGTACATCTGCTTCTCCAAAAGATCCTTGTCCTGAATCAACAGGAGCTGAGACTGCTGAAATCAAGTCCCTTACTTCTTACTATAGTCTCTATCTTAACCAGACCTCTCAGTACTTACTAGAAAGTATACATTGTAATCAAAGTTAAGTTTTAAATGGAGTAGTTTCCATTTGAAAGGTAAGAAAAAAGTGCCACGTGCTTAAACACCTCCTTTCATTTTATAAAAGTAGGTCACCTTGTTTGACGGATCTATGATTTTAGTAAAAATTCTTCAGGAAATATTAACTCCCAGAGAAAGAGCTATTATTTAATGAGTTATTAGAATGACGAACTGCTAAAAATGAAGTGTTTGAGCTGGTAGAATTCTGGAAATGGTGATAGCTGCCTAACTATATAAATTTGGTCCTGAGAAGAGAAATAGACAGTGATCTTTTTCTATCCTACAGTCTTGCAGAAAGCTAATTGTCATCAAAGATACCAATACTAAGGTTTATAAAAACTTTCATTTTCAAATCCCTTACATTTGAACAAATACCAATTAGTTTTGTTCACATGGTACTCAGTAAATCTTAAATTTCACATCAAAATTGCTGATGTGTCATGGAAAGATTTAGATGGGTTCAAGTTATGATGCTTTGCGTTTCCATTTTTTGCCTTTTAGTTTATACCAAATGTCCCACCTCAGTTGTCTATACAATACTAAGTCATTGCTTGTACTGGCTAGTTTTGTGTCAACTTGACACAAACTAGACTCATCACAGAGGAAGAAGACTCAACTGAAGAAATGCCTCCATGAGATTCCATTATAATGCTTTTTCTCAATTGTTGATCAACGGCAGATAGCCCAGCCTATGGTGTGTTGTGCTACCTCTGAGCTTCTGGTTCTGGGTTCTATAAGAAAGCAGGCTGAGCAAGCCATGGAGAGCAATCCTGTAAGCATCACTTCTCCATGGCTTCTGCATCAACTCCTGCTCCAGGTTCCAGCTCTGTTTGAGTTTCTGTCCTGAATTCATTCTATGATGAACAGAGGTATGGAAATATAAGCCTAATGAACCCTTTCTTCCCCAAATTGCTTTTTGGTCATCATGTTCCATCACCGCAAAAGAAACCCTAACTAAGAGAGCACTCATGCTATCTCTTCTGAGAAAAATACCACCTTCTATCCTCTTGTTCACTGATTCATATCTTACACAGAATACTGTTCAGGACTTGGCACCTACTGGAAACAAGTCATCCCAACCAATAAAGATCCAGGAATCCATCTGAGCATCTCATATATGGCTACTGCTGCTGGAGAAAATATTGAGAAGAAACGTTACATTCCACATAGTTTGTAATCTGTCAGTTCCTCCCTTCACAGTAAAGGGGACTTTGATACATTTTTGTTGATGATTTCAGTGTTTTGACCATCGTGGATATAATTTCACTATGTCAGATCTACTCTGGCAGTATTTTGAATCTTGGTGTACTTTCACTTTCACTCATTAACGCAAAACACTCTCATTTAAATTTTCAACTGAGTTTGAAAACCCAAAGTAATAATCTATTGATGTCTTGAATGTCCCATGGCCCTTTTACTATAAAACATATGCATATTATGGTTCCTCTGCCTAAAATGTTTCCTTCTTGTGAATCTGTGTTTATACATACACTTCCCATCACACTCCCTGTATATCAGTGTTCTATGATTCATATGATCTCATTAATTACTTCCTAGGAATTTCTTCCTGAACTACCTAAGTCAAATTCTCTCACAAGAGGATGTCAAACTACCACCATTCCTTTCTTTTGTCCTTGAATAGCCACTTCCTTATCTCCTATCCTGACTTGTGCTCGAATGTCAGTCATTCCAAGGAGTACTATTTTGCCAATAGACATAGGCAACGGAAAGTAAACAGAAGTTTCTTTGTTCCACTCGGTCTTATAGCTGTTTCGAAATAATCACTTGGAGGCTAATACTATTAATGCTTGACCAAAAGCTCAGGCATATTACTAGCTAGCACCTACACTTAAATTAACCCATATTTATATCTATATTTATATTTTTGCCATGTGTCTCGTGGCTTGTTACCTCATCTTCTACACTCCCAGGTTGTTTGGTGACTGGCTAGTCAGTATCTCTCTCGACTCCCCCTCATCTGAGTTCTCAGTTTGATTGTTTGCCTAACCTTATCCTGTCTGGCTATTGATCAAAGAGCTTTTATTATTAACCAATGAGAGGAATACATATTCACCATGTACAGAAAGATTATCTGTTAGTAATGGAACTTTTCCTAAACTCCTGTGGCCCAAGGCAAAATAATAATGAAAATTAGGTTACCAATGCTATCAGAGAGAAGAGAGAAAATTTTTCAACACTTTTTAAATTGCTATTTTAAATTATCTATGGTGGTTTGAATGACATGGCCACCATATGCTCATATATTTCAATGCTTTGTCTATAGATGGTAGAACTGTTTGGGAAAGATTAGGATGCAAATATTTACATGCAAAATAATTACTTTTATTATATTTTCATACATACATATCATTATGCTTTGTTCCAATTTGTACACATACCCCATTACCCTCCTCAATGCTCCCTGTCTAGATAGGACATAGTTTTAATAGAGATGACTCCTTAGATAAAAGAATGCATCTAATTCCAAAATGGTTTCAACATGATAAAAAATGGTATAGTGTGGGTGAATATATGGCAGTCTATTTTGAAGTAATTCACAAATATTTCTATATTATTTCTTACCTTAGTTTTCCATAGATATGAGAGGGTAGCTTTTTCCAATTCATCTATACATTATAAATAAATGCTTGAGAAATTACATTAAAAATGGAGTTGGAAACCTTATTCAGCAATCATTATATTTACGTAAATTATTCTAACCATTTTACAGACTGGAATATAAGGCTTAGAAATAAACAAAAGGCTTAGGAATTATCCTAGATTCCTAAGGCAGAGGCAGGAATTTAAACTAAATCTCTAACCCTCAGTCTCATATGTTCCCTTATGGTTTTCTTAGCCTTACTCTTAATCTCCCACAAGGTTACCTCTTATGACTTGATCAGCTCTAAAGAGAAAACCCTGGAATCAACTTACAAAATACTCCTAGTGAACCTCTCTTCTTGCTTCACCAATTAAAACATGCTAACATTGCAGAATAGGCACGAGCCATTGCTGAGATAGAGCCATCCCTGAGGTATACCCTTTGCTAAGCAACTTCGTGCCCCTCAGCTTTGCCTAATCTAGCATACAAAGGGCATCACACTTCCATTTCTTCTCTCTTCTACCAGGTCATCCCCTCATTAGAGCAGCAGGAATATTTTATTAGGTAAATGCACTCTGGGACCAGAAAAAGATTTGTTGCTTTAGATGAAAAGAATATATGCATAGCATGACCTTACCCCACAGCCCTAGTCAGGAAGCAAACAGCCAGTGTGAACAGCTCCACCACGTATTTAGTCCTAAGTAAGCATTTCAAAGGGAAGAAGCAGTTACCACTGTG